GTTTTTTAAAGTGCTATATAAATACATTTATACAATTAATAGAAATAGTAATTAATAATTAATAAAAACACTAAATATGACTGCTACTATTACTATTAACCATTGTATCGATACAGCTATAATTTCATGATAAAACATTATTTCTTTAAACATTTAAATTCTTCATGTACTGTAATGTCCATCTTTTGTGTTAATGTTGTTTTTTTTTATTACTACTTAAAATATTTTATGGATTGTAACATTTTAAACTGGACAGAATTTATACACATTAAAATGTCATTGTGTGATAATAGTGTTTATATTGTGCCAAATGTAAGTCTCAGAAAGCAGAAGTGAATCAGTCAGAGGTTTTTGTCATGGTGTGAATCACTGTGGTACAGCTTCACTAGCAGAGTCATCCCATGTGCTACAGTAATACACTGCTGAGTCTCCTGTTTCTGCCTGCTTTATAATAAACTGGAAGTCAATTCTTGATGTGGCTTTAGAGTTAAATCTGTCAGAAGAGAAACCTGCTCCGAAATTATCAGGGGAACTGTGAGAAGGATGAAGCCTCAGAATGTACTGAGGAGTCCCACCAGGCACCTGTTTGTACCAACTGACATAATTGCCATGATCTATCTGAACGTTGCAGCTGAGAACAACCTGTTGTCCTGTAGAAACTGAGTGAACAGCAGGAGTCTGGGTCAAAACTTTAGCTGCATCAGCATCTGTAAAAGTACAACGAGAAAGGCATGAGTGATAAATATGTGTTTGAAAATAAAGAATATAAAATAAGACAAAAGGGCCACTTACATGTTAGAGCAGAGATGACAGTACAGAGAATCCACAGCATGTTGTCAGTTTGTGACTTTAATCTTGTTTATGGTGACACTGTGAGACGAACCTGTTTAAGTGAAAGAAGAAGACAGACTGAGACTTATAAAGAGTCTGAGGGGAGAAAACAGGGAGGAGAGGATTCTGTAATATGTTGATTCACTAATTTACATAAATTGATGAGCAGGGACTGTACTGTTCAGACAAGCTTTACTTTTTTAAAGTTTTTAATTTTAACATTATCCCTACATTTCCAATTCAATTTAAGAAAAACAGTCAAT